TCCCCGTAAAACCTATCCATGGGCGACAATGCGTCCGCGCGATATAAGCTCACCGCTCGATTGGCGTAGAGCACGAGCGCCACGCGTCGTCTCTGACAGTTAGAGGGCACCTCCGGGTGTTCATTGGTTTGCTACTGCCCGCCTCAAGCCAGGTAGTCCCTGGTCAAATTGCTACAAGTCCACAAAAGCCCTCCTGCGTCTTGCCGTGGTCACAAATGCGTATTTTACTACGGTCGCAAAACACATATATATTGTTCTAGTACCTCAAAGCCAGCATGTGATGGACCTAAAGCAGATCCCAATCTGTCACCGCAATCCTATTCCCGAGCTGGATCTGCTCCCCACTGCCTTGTGAGTCAGGCTATTAAGCCAAAGACTCCGGGCGGAGTCCCTCAAGCAAACATCTAGATCACCCACTGCCTTGTGGGTCAGGCTATTGAGCCAAAGGCTCCGGGCGGCGTCCCTCAAGCAAACCCGCGATGCACCACCAGCACCACGCGTGCGATTGCCCATCAATGCAATTGTATGCCTCCACGCAAAGCGCTCAGCATCGGGTGCTGGAACGTACACACACTACTCGACCGGGACTCGAGTGAGCGCCCCGAGCGACGCACTGCACTGGTCGCGATGGAACTGGAGCGCAGTGAGACCCGGCTTGCTGAGCAAGGTAGGTTGCGTGACGCTGGAGTTGGCTACACGTTCTACTGGGTGGGCAACACCACCTCAGCACCACGTGAACATAGGGTCAGATTTACACTGTCCGATCGCCTAAATGGCCAGCTGGTGGGTGAGTCGAATGGCATCAGCCCGCGACAGATGACTACTCGCCTGCGACTCGGAAGAGGTAAGTTTGCCACTTTTCTCAGCACCTACGGTCCTACCATCTGTTACCCTGATGACATGCGTGGTCAGTTCTACATTCAGGTATCCTCCGTGATACCGTCCGTGTCTAGAAGCGACCGACTATTTCTGCTGGGTGCTTACAACGCGCATGTTGGGCGTGATGTATCGGTGTGGAGAGATGTCAATGGTCCGCGTGGCATTGGTTCAGCAAGTGCCAACTGTGACAGGCTGCTCTCACTGTGTGCCACTCACGGCCTGACGATCACGAACACTCGGGTTGCACTGAGTGCGAGTGATTTAACAACTTGGGCGCACCCACGGAGTGGTCACGCTCACCTGCTCGACTATGTCATCGTAGGTCAGCGTGATATGCGTGAAGTGTACATGACAGGTGTACTACGTGGAGCTGATTGTGGCACTGATCACAAATTAGTGCGGACCAAACTGTACATATATTTTCGGAAAACTATGTTTGCACTCCGGCCGTGAACCGCCGTAAATTTAACATTCTCTCCCTTGGTACTATAGAAAGCGTATTGAGCTGGAGAAGGCGATGGCTGCGCGCCTGTGTAATGTGGAATGCAAAGCCACAGTGGGCGACTTGTGGCACCACATTCGCAACCAGTTAACAGCTTCTACTGAGGAGACGATCGAGCACGCAAACTATCAGCGGCCCGATTGATTTGATGTTAACAATGCGATGATTGGCGCATTGGTGCGTGAGAAGAATGCAGCATTTGCTACACATGTGGCAGACCCAATGACTTGGGAAAGAATAGTCAGTTTCGCAAACTTCGACGATGACTGACCCGAGAGCTCCGTCGCATTAAAAATGCATAGTGGACGGAGAAGGCGAAACAAATGGAATGTTACGCCGAACGCTGCAAACACAAGGAATTCTTTGACTCCTTATAGGCGGTGTATGGACTGTGGTTGCAGCCACTTAGGACGTTGATCGATGGTAGCTCAGGTGCTACCTGCACACAGACTGCAGAAATAATGAACATCTGGAGAACGCAGTTTGACTGTTTCTTGAACAACCGTTCTGAGATGGACTGGTCTACTTTGAACGGTCTGAAGCAGCATGATGTGAAGGCGAGTTTGGCGGACACGCCAACACTAGATGAGCCGCAGAGAGCACTTGCTCAGCTGCGAAACGCCAAGTGTGCCGGTGCCGACGGGATCCCGCCTGAAGTATTGAAACACGGTGGACCCGCGTTGGTAACTGCGCTGCACCACTTGATGCAACGTGTGTGGATTGAGGAGGAGGTGACTCCTGAGTTGAAGGATGCTCTTGTGCTACCAATGTACAAGGGCAAAGGGAGCAAGCAATGTTGTACGAATTATCGTGGTATCAACTTGCTGAGTTACGTGGCCAAGTTGATTGCACGATTTCCGCTCAACCGCCTCGTCAGTCAGGTTTTGTAACCGAACGTGGTGGAAGAGCCGTGTGGATTCCATTCGGTGCAAGAGAAAGCCTTTGTGCTTACAGAGAAGAAGCGGCAATTGCTGAAGCGACCTGCGCCGATGGGTTGTACTCCAGCGGCGTTGAGCGCATGTTGTTGTAGCACATGGGTCGCGAGTGCCTGAGTCAGGCAGGCCTAGTGAGCCGTGAGCGAGGCCATTCGGGACCAGTATCGAAGCGACGACTGGTCCTGCTAAGAACGCAAGCAGAACCGGTGTAGCGTTGGTAGGTATGCTGTATTCGATTTACTAATCGCGTGCTTGCGTGCTGAATTGCAGTATTTCTGGTGATTTGTTTGATATTTTCTGTTAGTGCTTGCGTTGTTAACTCATTTATATGTCTGTCTGAAAAAGCTTAAGGAGATTGTCTTGAAATTCGTTTGAGTTGCCGCCTTTGAAGCATATTTTAACGATTTTTTCTGACAGCTTGAGCTTATTTGCATGCTAAGTCTCTTTATTTCAGGTGGTGGGTTTGCACTTTTGTCTTAATGCTTTTCTTTCTCATATTAATGTCTATCTGAACTATCTTCCATACATTCGCACACGTCGCTTAAGCTACTTGTAGTTAACTTCGAAAACATTTTCGCGTTTGTGGCATTTCCTTAAAATATATTTTCTGACCTATTGAACTTATCGCGGATTCGTTCGTAAGCAATCTAATTTATATGCCAATTTAGGGAAGAGTTATGCCACCGTATCTGTATGCAATATCCGATTTATTTTATTTCATCTTGTCATTTCAAGTGATTGACTGTTGCTTGATATCCCCGGTGTGGCTGCGCTTGGTGTGCATGTTGACAAGGTGCCTACCTGTCTATTACCCACTATCTCGTCCATACTGGTTTCAGGAGACAGCTGGTGGTTGATAGAAGGGACCGGGTGCACGGTCCTTGTGACCGTGCTAGACCCGAACAGTGGCTCCATGCACTCACTGTGGAGCGCACTACGGTCTAACCACCGCCATATGTGCGATTGATTCCCAAATACATAGTGTTTGTGTTTGCCTGTGAAAGAGCGTGCGCCGGCTCCGTTGATGAGACGTGGCTCCCATCCACATGCCTCCTGGTCTTATTCCTTTGGGTTTACACTGAATTTGGGGTGTGTGGATGGAGCTGTGGGTGGTGCATCGCAAGCCACCCATTGTCCCTCTGTAGGCGCAGGCGTCCTGTGGCTGTCCCCGTGGAGACCACAGTGAGAGGCGAATCCGGAACTGGATACCGCCAACCAGTAATATATATATATATATATATATATATATATATATATATATATATATATATATATATATCCGTCAAGCTGGCTTGTAGACAGACTAGAATGAGATATAGTTGTAAACTGGGTCCCTTCGATGGACTTTTAGTGTTCTGGTAATGTTTGACTGTACTCGTCTTCGTACAGTATTTGGAGGGATCACTTAGTAAGAAATTGTAAGCTTGCAGCTGCTCCTCTATTGTGTATGCTTAAGCAGCTCAAATACGGTGAGCAAAACAGTGCTTTGCAAAGAATCATGCAATCGGTAGGAAACATGATCCAAAAACAATGACGCTGTAAAAAATGAAGCGCTGCCTTTGATTCCAGACATACATCTCAACTGTAGGTGCAGCGCTATCAGACATGGTTTGTGTGAAGTATATAAGTTCGAAAAATGTGATAGACAAGTGAAACGCGTACTTATTGACTTAACGTATTACCCATGTTAACGCACATATATATGAGTTTATCCCGAGTTTGTGGAGTTACTGAGCATAATGGTTACCTGAATCTTATCGTCACTTGCTGAGCTGAATTCAAATCTTGCAATAGAGGTGCTGTTACGCATCGTCGAGTCTTCTTTCAAATTGGGTAGCGTGGGTGCAGCAGTGACAAAAATCGAAACAGCGTTTTACGGTCACCAAACGCTAAGGACAAAACGATTCCAGCTTCATCCCGGCCCACTGAACGATACTGTACATGTACTCTTTAGAATAATATAGATTTAATGCGTGTACAATGTTGCAGCTAGTATTTTTAAGGTAGGCTTTTCCTAAATTTCTGCTTCTGTCGCGTGTGCACTGTTCCGTTGTTGTTTAGCATCTTGGTAGTTTGTGTTTCGTACCTTGAACAAAAGTGTTGGATGATGCTCTCCATCACATAAACCATGATAAGGAGCAATGGTTTATAACGGGTATAAAATCGATACTTTACAATTCCCACAGCATGGTTAGGGTGGAACTTACCAGATAACAAGGTAGTGTCGGTGAAAAAACGCTCGTGATACATGGCTTACCAAGGGGTATGCATTAACATACGTGTGAGCATTCCTGCAGGCAGTTTAAGAGCATCATGATACCATCCAGTGTTTGTTCTGCACTAATGCCAACATCTGATCGTCATGGGCTATATCACATAGCGTAAATGTGTCAGGGTATCGTCAAGACGTTTTCGAATAGGGACAAGATGAGAACACAACTCACAGTCCCAACAACTAAGGAATAATACCAGCACAACAATATGGGTGTTAGAGAGTAAAGGATATCCTATTCACACCAAAAACAACATTTTATGGGGTGAAATCAAATATTCGATGCGTGCTTGTGTGTTGAGGTCATATCTGGTTGGGTCCAATTCGAAAGTTAAGTTAAACTTATGGAATTGCTTTGCTGACGATAGGAAAAATGCTATAAACTACACTTTTGAAATTAACAAGGCGTTACCTTCTTTCCAAGTTTTATTATTTCTTTTTCCAATTCATGAAGCTTTGTAAACCGTTCGTGAGGTTTTCGTCTGCGATACTCTGATTCCACAAAACCGGGATCATCCTGAAAATAGAGACATCAGTTAATCATGCAAACTTTAGCATACTATACGGTTCTGAACTCAAGTCTTTTACTCCTGTTGAAGTGAAGTTGAAGAGAAGATATGGCACGGAACTCGGGTACTGAATGGTACCTCTTGGATAACCCGGATGTGCATCCGGAATGTTCTGATACCTTCGGTACGCTACGGTCTTACTTGTAACATAGCACGCCAATGTAATCCCCAATGTCTGATGCTTTGCGATGAAAAATATGTCTATGTGCTGAAGTATGACCATACAGTAATGATTACAGGCTCATCGAGTGTCAAATAACCAAAGATATTGGAAGTACTTAAATTGAAAGATTTAAGAGTCGTAAAGCCCAAGGAAGCCATAAGCCTGAGTTGACAAAAAACAGTTCATTTTCTACAGGTTCAGACATCGGGGAAAAGTTAATGATGACATTGGATCCAAGTTCCTCGATGTACTTGTTTATGCAAACAAACTATATAACTGCAGTTAGTCTTTACTCTTGAGCTGGCAATGCAACACTTAGGATTTGAAAAAAACAGTATCACTCTCTTGAACGCAGAAGTTAAAGTGATTGAACTGAAGGGTAACGGTACTTCAACAATTGCTAGTGCGTAGCCCTAGAGAAGAATCCACCTGTGGAGCAAAAGCTGTTGCATTAAGTGGCCCGACATCATATATTGTGATGCCAGAAAAAAACTGGAAAAGTCTGATGTTCGCAGCTAGTACTGTCTGCCAAAGATGAAACAGCGGTGACTGTATCGCATCCTGATTACCACGGATGTACAACTTGAAGGCGGATACGACGTCAGTTTGCAAACAACAAATGTCTGTGAGTTAAGCCATCTTCGAGCCAACAAAAGCATGCGATCGCTGAAGATTGGTATGGAGGTTTTAATCAGACAAGTACAAGTTCGTAAGGTTTAGAAACACTCAGATGGCCAGCGGGAGCCTAGAAAAACACCGAACGGCCAAGGTATCGTTTGTGAAATTGTGCACAGTGCGTATTCATTCCGCGTCCTGCGGGGATAGAAACCGTAACTCTATTCTTTTGAGCTAGAGGTAGAGCCCACCGGAACACCGGAGACATTCAATACCCAAATGGCCAAGGCGCTTGATGTGATATGACTTGGGTCCCTTAATTGGATTACGCCTTTGTGTCGTGTAGAGGACATAACAGCCCTCCTGAGCGATAGCTTTGCAAATTTGTTATATATATATATATATATATGTATATATATATATATATATATATATATATATATATACACGGCCACTCGTGACCACTACAGAAGCGACAATGGGTTCCGCACAGAAGTACTCAGAACGGGCGCACAGTTTGTAGGTACGCTGCATTCGATTTACCAACCGCGTGTTTGCATGCTGTCTCTTTATTTCAGGTGGTGGGTTTTCAAATTTTGCCTAAATGCTTTTCTTTCTCATAAATGTCTACCTGTACTCTAGTCCATTAACTTGCGCACCTCGCTTAAGCCAATTGTATTCGATTTCCATAACATTTTCGCGTTTGTGGCATTTCCATAAAATATACTTTCTAACCTCGTGAGCTTATCTAGGATTCGTTTGTAAACAACTGATTTCATATGCTCATTAACTTAAGGTTTATGTTACCCTTTCCTTATGCATTAATCGATTTATTTTCTTTGTCTCTCTCTCTCTCAAGTGATTGGCTGTTGTTTGATATCCCCGGTGTGGCTGCGCTTGATGTGCATGTTGAAAAGGTGCCTACCTGTCTATTACCCACTACCTCGTCCATACTGACTCCAGGAGACAGTTGGTCGTTGCTAGAGGGGACAGGGTGCACGGTTCTTGTGGCCGTGTTAGGCTTGAAGAGCGGTTCCATGCACTCAGTGTGGAGTGGACTACGGTCCATCCACCGCCTTGTGTGTGCGCTTGATTCCCAAATACAGTGTGCTTGCGTTTGCCTGTGAAGGAGTGTGGGCCGGCTACTTTGATGAAACGCGGTTCCCATCCGCATGCCTCCTGGTCTTATTCCTTTGGGTTTACACGGAATATGGGGTATGTGGTTGGAGCTGTGGGTGCTGCAGCGCAAGTCATCCATGGTCCCTCTGTAGGCGCAGACGTCTTGTGGCTTTCCACAGTGACAGGCAAATCCGAAACCGGATGACGCCAACCCTATATATATATATATATATATATATATATATATATATATATATATATATATGCTTCGTTGCATACATATAATGCACCTTCGGTTGCTTTAGAAGCCGCCGGTTTCGTATCTACCAGTGTAACAGCAATAACAGTAAAAACCTGAGGTATAAAGGAAATAATAAAGGCAAATAGAATCATTGTCTGTTCGGTTGCCTTATATTTTGCAAAGCCACTTTGCTACCAAGATGCCACAATAGTCAAGATGCTTTCAAGTCCACTGGTATAATTTGGTCTTTCGCAACCTCAATTCAAACTGACTGCGGTACTCAAATCCGTGGGTACGCAATGCAGGAACAAATAGCTCAGTTACTAGACCCACCAAGTACTCAGTGACGGACAAGTCCATATCAACCCGTTCGGAGTCCATAAAAGAACTATTCGAGTTTCCAATGACTAAGCCGAATTACAAGCCTCCAGTTTTGGGCATCAAAAGCGCTGGTCCTGTTAAATTGCGTAAAGCATTTTATTGTGAACCAGCTAAAAGGTTATGGTTCAGCTCTTTCCAGGACTTCTGATTAGCAGATATTAATACGAACTGTTATCGATTCGATAAATATTGCTTAGTTTAGGCTTATGACACTAAAGAGAATTTGGTTACTTTGCAGGTTCCATCTGCATTTGAGTCTGGATGTCATCAAACTATAACTTTTAGCACCTACTGAAGCAACTGGAATTATTCCAGTTCTGTGGTTGCCTCAGTGAAATGCATTAGAATGTAATGCTTCCGTTAGAAAGTGCTCGGATATGACCAACAATACAGTTACTGTCGATATAATGTGATCGATGTGGTTTGGAACTAAATTAAGTCACTGCCCTTTGCTCGAGTAACATGTTGTATTCTATTAGGTGCAAACTAACATTTCGGGATTGCTTGGTCTCTAGTTTGGAGATTTACCAACTCGTAAGCATATAAATTTAGCAAGCTTTCACCAGCCTCTAATGGGCTTGAATGTCTTCCATTATTCTGCTGCTTTGTGAGTAGACTAAGAATTCAGCATTTTGGAATGCTGTTTTCTAAGTAAGGTCCCGAAATCGGACTACGGTACTAAGTTTTATCACTCCAGCAAAGGAACCAAAGCTTTATCTGCAGTGCACTTTATAGATCTTGACTCTTTCATCACTTAAGTATCTTCATCAATGCTAACTTTACATTCTTCAGTAAATTTGTTCCCTTTCATTAGCCTGTAGTAATGGTCTTGCCAATTTGCACAAAACAAAACATTACTAATGAATTCCCTTTGGGCCAGATCGTATACACTTGGACGTAGCACCAGTTGTTGCGTAATCTGGAATCCCTTAATATTGAGGTTCACTGCCGTTCTAAAACACGGCAATGGGGCCCAGTTGATGCCCGTCTCAGTCTATCTAGCCAAGTAGCACCTGTGTCCGTCAACTGACACGAAGGAAGCTACAGCTGATTCGGTTGTCTTTGATGCGGTACGCCGTGGTAAGGCCAAGATAGTGGATCCACTGTCGTTTCTAAACCAACTATGTGCTGCTTGCACTCTGAACACGTGCACAGCCAGATGTGAAGATGAAAAGCGCAAACATTTTGTACTCTTAGTCTACTTCCCAAGGATCAATGTCATCTCCAACTTCCCCACTATGACAGTTAAGTTAGCAGGATGGACATAGTCCTCCCGCTAAACTTCTCAACCTTCAGGTTCCGTGAATGCTATAAAAGGAATTCCAGCCAACTGTTTATCAATAATTTTACGAACTCCCCTAATTAATGAAGGTAGATGTGTTTTTATGTGAGGATGCATGCATTAGTCCCAGCTAGGAGATGATATGTGCTGTTACTTGGTATCCCCCTTGTCAATGCAAAAATCGTCACAGTGGATGACAATGTACTTGGTTTCAACTTACCGAGCAACAAACCACATTTGTACTACCTTGGTTTGAATATACTGACTGAACTCACTTATTGGCCTGTATGCAGATTTGTAGGAGCATGAGTGGATTTGCAAAGACCATGTGTTATAAAATTGGTGCAAGCATGCCAGTTTCTCTGACGATCTATATACTTTGATGAACTTCGATGTCTGAGGCATTCACCAGTGACCAACTACAAGATATCGTGACAAATGATTTTTCTTGTAGGAAAAACCAAGTTAGCTTTAAGTCAATAAATCTGCTCACAATTTATGTGCGTATTTATTTAATTACATGGAATGGCAAGAGAGAAATAAGGGAATCTACGTAACTTGTATGTTAATTGCTTTTGTTTACACACATCTAAGTTTCTTTGGAATGTCATCATTTGCCATCAATGCACAGCTGTCAGCGGTCCCACCAGACTCCGTAACTTTCCTGGAAGACTTGAATAGAAAGGAATTTCATAGAACTTGTTGCGTTAGGTTGCACACTTTAACTAGTCTCAGAATAGTGTATCATTAAGGTGCATGCAAACACAGGAAAAAAAAAAATACAACAGCGCCGAGTTGGAACTGCACTTAGGCGGGGAAGCGTTGTGAGTAGATTGTGTCAACTTACAAGTGTCAATTCGTACGCAAATGAACTGTCATGGAGAACAACTCAGATGTTGCCGATCTCCAAGAAGATGCGCAGAACTTTTTTCCTTAGCCATCTAAACAATCCCACATAAAGGGCAGACATACTTAACTATTGTGAGCTCTCATCAGGGCAGAAAAAACCGTTGTTATGATATCCTATTATTTAGATTGCTGTCCTCATCCACGACGGACCAGAGGTATTTAAGCATAAGTACTTGAGTAGGTTCAAAGCATGATAACACAAGTAAGCTACCGTGGTGACTGGGGAATATCATACAAT